AAGAAAACCTTTTGCAACATTCAAATGAAAATTGCACATACTTCAATGAGTATTCCTCATCTACATTGAATCAATATTTCCTACCTTTTATATGTTTGTTAGATATCTTTAATTACTACTTCTGAGTGTTATTACATCTCATATATTCATTCATTCCTTTGAAATATATTTTGAGAAAGCCATGTTTTTGATGCAGAAAATACCGTGGTAAAAGTGATCTATGAAGCTCTCCATGGAGACCTGGGTTTTAACTTTCATTTGAGGGGACAAACAATAAATGAATGAGAAAAGAGCTGTCTCTGTCTGAAAGTCATGCATATTATGAAAATAAGAAGAAACAGCATATGGAGGTAGGTGGTAGTGTTTTTTGAGTCAGATGTTATAAGATGTTGTCTATCTACCATATCCTTTTCCTTGTGTCCTCAGATAGCTTATTAGTTTGCAAAATTCATCTGCAACAATATACCTCAGATTTTGTAACTGATTCCTGAAGAAACAGCAAAGCGGTGCATGAGTAATCAGCCCTCTTCTTCTATACTGTTAATCTTGAACAGACCAAAGCTAAATTTAAAGTTTATGTACTTCTTACCATCTCTAGTATGTTTCCAAGATGATCGTGCATGGAGGACATTTATGAAAATACCACTTTAATGAGTTTTTACATAAGACTCTCAGTAGAAGAAAGGGAGCAGGAAGTGGCAGATTGAAGACATTAGACAAAGGTAAAGACTAGCTTTGGTCTCATCCATGGGGAATTCTGGAACATATTACATTATAAACAGAACTGGTCTCACTTTGTGTTATTGGGACTAACTTCTGCTGGGCATTCCAACATGGCTGTGGCTATCTTGAGAAAAAGAGAGAAAAACTCATTTCCTTTTTCTTATGGAAAATGATCTTCAAGTAGTCGTGCAAAGGGATTCTCCATTTATGTGTATAGTGCATTTTGATTGGTGTCACCATTCCATCGTTTCCCACCCATCCATCCTTATTCATGTCTTCAAGTTTCCTATTTTCATATATTCACATTGAGTGTTGTGACTGTATTTGTCCCCTTTCCCATTCCTGTCATCATTTGTCTACTCATTTTCCAACAGAGCCTTTCCCTCTACGAGGAGAGTATATGATTACCATTAGAAAATCTAGTGCATAGTACAGACCCACAAACTACCTGTAATCCCAGTGCTTTAGGTGAAGCTAAGAGGCCACAATGGAATGAATAGTGAGTTCTAAGCCTTCCTGGGATAAAGACTGAGTCCATGTTTAAAAATGAGCAAGGAGCTGGACACCAGTGGCTCACATCTGTAATCTTAGCTACTCAAGAGGCTCAGATCTGAGGATTGTGGTTTGAGGTCAGCCTGGGCAGGAAAGTCTGGGAGATTCTTATCTCCAATTAATCATAGAAAATGCCAAAAGTAGTGCTGAGGGTCAAAGTGGTAGAGTGCTAGACTTGAGCAATAAGGAGTGTGATACAGTGCTGAGGCCCAGAGTTCAAGCTCTAGGGCTGGCAAACAAAGCAAAACAAAACAAAGCAGTCAACAAGCAAAGTCCATCAAACTGTTAGTAGGTTACAAAAAATATGGTTTTCTCCATTGCCACAAAAATCATCTTGTAAAGACCAACATGTATTTATGACTACAAAAAATTTCTAGTCAAGAGGAAATAAAATGAATTTGAACTGACTGTTATCTATAAAATAATTACAAAGATGCCAGAGACTCCCTGAGAATAAGGAATTGGGCAAGAGCCCCACCATAAATATTACTCCTCACTATACTTTGCTAATAGTCCATACTAGCAGAAATGATGTGGAACCATGTA